ATTTTGAGTGCCTTCCAACCTGAGGGGCTCATTTTCTGGCACTATATCTGACAATGTTTCTCTGCTATTCATAAGGTTTTCAGTGACTAAATATTCGGAAGTAGTTTGTCACTCCTTCTAGTCTATCTTTGTCTGGAAGCTCATCTAAAACCTGTCCACCATGGGTAACCCTGCTGGTATTTAAGAAACCGGTGACATAGCTTCCAGAATCACAGCAACTCACAAGCCACCACAGTATGACAAAGTGACGGACGAGTGTTGGCAGTAGAGGTTACTACAGCAAAAAACAAGGAGAAGCTTGATACTTCATGGTGTGTAAGGGTTAGGGGTTTAGGAGAAGGTCACGAGAACAATTTTAAGTTAGAACTTAACCTTTTTGCTTCCCAAAATGTCTGTCCCAGATGGGAATACAATTTATGTGAGCTGATACATTGTAAACAAAACGGCTCTCAGAACAAGACATTCCCACCTAGGCTAAGAAGCAGGAAGTAGGACTAGATTCCTTTAGACTAATGAGGGGCAGCTGGTGCGGAGTAGGGTTTTTCAGAGCTGCGAGAGACTAGGGAGCCCTTTTGTGGTTCTACAGGATAATGTGCTGGACTACAAGGTCAGTTTGAACCGCAAGGTTGGCAGTTCAAACTCAACAGATGCTCCTTGGAAACCCTATACAGGGTCGCAACTGACTTCACAGCACTTAACAACAACAACAACCAGAGACTAGAGGAAGAGAGAGAAAAAGAATGCCTAGGAGCAAAATGTATAAACATATAGGAAGACCTGTTGCCGGTGATTGAGTACCAACCAGGGTAAAGGTACTCCTCCTGCATCTCTGGGGACTTGAACCTGAAAGAGCCATAGGAACATCCTTAGGCAGCCGGTGGATCCTGTGCCCAGCCAGGTCTCCTGGTCCCGCCCCAAGGTTGGTCCTGCGTTTCTGCACCAGCAGCTTCTCCTTCTGTCAGCTAACAAGTCCCCAGGGCCTCCCTTTCCCTGTTTTCCCTGCAGCCTCTTCAGCTTCCTCCTAAGCAGCTTCAACATTCTTTCACTTTTTCCCAGCAGCCTCGTTCCTCAAGCCCAGACCCCCATGAGCTGAGTTTCTTTTTAACCAACAACACCTTCCCCACCAGAGAGGCAGAGGTTGAGGAGACTGCCAAATATGTAGTGGAAACAAAGCAAAACATGACTGGTGTCCCTTGCCTCAAGTTCCTTTCTCTATTTGCACTTTGCAGGCTGCCCAGAGCCACGTGGCCATCTTAGTAAATTCCTGAGACAAGGTGCTTTTCAGTCCTTGCCTGTTCTTGGTCCTCACTCTTCCCAGCAGAGATCAGAGCCTCAGTTGTAAACACTAGGGTTAAGAGCCCTGGTGTCACATTGGTTACACGTTGTTCAGCTGCTAACTAAAAGGTCAGTGGTTCGAACCCACTAGTCTCTCTGTGGGAGAAAGATAGGGCATTCTGCTCCCATAAAGATTGTTGTTAAGTGCTGTCGAGTCAGTTCAGCCTTGTAGTGACCCTGTATATGGTTTTCTGAGGCTTTAAATCTTCGCAGGAGCAGAAAGCCTCATCTTTCTCCCACAGAGCGACTGACAGACTTGAACCATGGACCTTGTGGTTCACAGTCAAGTGCTTATCATATGGAGTCGTTGTGCTCTCCCCATAAAGATTAGTGGTGGGGTGGTGTGCCGTGGAGTCAGTTCCAACTCATAATGGCCCAGTATAGAGTTTCCGGGGCTGTCAGTATTTACAGGGGCAGAAAGACTCATCTTTCTCCCGTAGAGCGCCTGATGTACTCGAACTGATGAACTTGTGGTTATCAGCCCAACGCATTACCAACTATGCTACCAGGCCTAGTCTAGGAAAACCTATTGGGCAGTCTGCTCTGTCCTATAGGGTGATAGGAGGCAAGTGTTGACCAAAAGGCAGAGCTCATTAGGCTTCCACGAAAGGTCAAAGGGTAGGATGATTCATATGAATCAGATGAGTGTATCTCAAGGACCATGGCCAAAGGGGAGTCTTTCTTAATCCCCCTTGGGCTTGGGACAGGTCTCAGGTGAAGGGATGCAGTGGGTGTTGGATGGGAGGGGAAGGGCTGAGGAGAAATGGAGCACCATATTGCTCTTCTGAAATGGATCAAATATGAGTCAGCCAGGATTCATGGAGCACCTCTGCCCATCTGAGAGACATTATAGGACATAGGCAGTCCTTGGTCTCAAGGAGGCACTTAGGCTCCATAGGGGAAATGGACTCTACTTATTCAACACCTAGAGGACCACAGAGACCTCATCTGACCTAGAGATGAGTGTATGTAGAAGGAATTCAGAGAGGGGGAGTTTCAGTGAAGGTCTTGTGGAGGAGCCACCACTTGAAGATGACCATATCATAGTGACCATGTGCTTCCCTGTCTCAGGAGGTTTCAGCTGTGTGTCTGTCCCCTTGTAAAAGATCCCTCCTCCTTTTCTTCTGCAGCCTTCAATACCCCAAGTCCCAAACTACAGGCTATCGATGACGATCCCAGACTGGCTCCAGGCGATCCAGAATTACATGAAGACACTACAGTATCCTTCCAACCAGCATCTGAGCAGACCCATCAAGGGGATCAGGGTGGTGAGTGCCAGCCTGGCATCTGTCCCCAGCTGGTCAACAAAGGCTCCCCAAGGTTGGTGAAGCCAGATTTGGAAGGACAGCCTTGTGAGAGAGTCTCTTGCTTGATGTTGTCAAGTTGATTCCAACTCATAGCGACCCCGTGTATTAACGCTAGAACTGTCTCGTTGGGTTTTCCAGGCTGTAATTTTTAGGTGAGCAGATTGCCAGGTCTTTGTCTCATGGTGCCACTGGGTGGGTTCAAACCACCAACCTTTTAGTTAGCAGCCAACCATTACACCCCAGTGCTCCTTCCAGAGAGACTAGACAGAATGACAGCAGAGGATATAATTACATTGACCCATCCCTTCTCTCTCAAGCAGTGTTAGCACAAGGACACCTAGAGGACAGTGAGTCAGTAGTGATGACCCCTGATCTATCTCCAGACCCTCCAGCTTCTCATTTTTCTCTCCCTTTCTTTTTTCCTTCCCTGGGCTCCCCTATTCATTCATCTTTTTCTCTACCTTCTTCTGCTCTGCCATCTTTGTTTCCCTCTTCTCTTTCCTTTATCTCCTGTCTTTCTTTCCTCCTGTTCCCTCCTTTTCTTCTCGCTCACCTTTTTTACTTTCTTCCCAGAGCACCCCAGATCTATAAGTGACCTGCCTGGTACTCCAAGATGACACAGGCCAATGACCTTGCTAAACACTGAAGGTATGGATGGAGTCCTGTCAGGAAGGCTTTCTCTCTCCACTTGTGCTTGAAGACAAGCTGAGGAGCCCTGTGTAGGCTTGATTCAGAGCAGCTGAGCTTCTGGTTTCATTCTTCTCTGTTGTCTTCATTGTTTGCAGTCAGATTTAGATCACTTCTGACATCACTCTTACTTCACCCTCCAGAAACACTGTAGAAACCACTTGTGGTATTGTATCAGAGGTAGGAGAGAGCTGAAGAAGTGGGCTGACAGAAATATGTATGAAAGGGGCACTTACCCCAAGTAAGACAGTGAGCCCCAGGGACAAACTCCATAGTGAGGCAGCTGCCTCACTCCAAACCCCCCTCATACATTAATGTTCACGAAGTCAGGCCTCTGCTGGTCTCTGTCTTTCCTCTATAAAGACGTAAAGGTTAGCCTGTTCTACAAGCCCCAGGTACAAGGCTTGACTTCTGTTGGTCTTTTCAAACCCAGCCTGAGAGGATTTCAGGAGCCACCAGGCCTATATTCCATAAGTCCCAAAGAACCTCTTTTCTGTGCTATAGGCAAGAATCTTTCCTGTGGATTTTTGAGCCAAACACCTGCACCTCCTTCATAAGCTCCATATGACCAGGTGGGAATAATGGTAATTGCTGCGTTTTCTGCTACAGATGTTACTTGAATAGCTTCTCAGTTTCCACTTCTTGAACCAGGAACTTCCCTGAGTGGCATCTTCCCATTCCAAAGAACTCCTGAAAAGATCTTATAGGGAAAAGGGAGCAGTAGCCTCCAGGGGTGAAGTGGACAAACCTAGCCCCAGGAAGGTTAGCCAGTGCTGCTGCTGTTCCCCAAACTGGAACCCCACATGAGATTCTATGTGATCCAGAAACCCAGACTCCTGCCACAGAAAACCTGGATCTCAAAAGTTCTTGAATGTGACCAACTTCTCACAGATATCCCAGAAGGTGACAGGGATTAGAAGGACTCCCTACTTCTAACTGGGGCATAGTCTTCAAAAGGAGGGTCTGCTCAGAGATACAAGAGAAATGAGTTTGGCTGGGATCATTTATAGAGGCATCTTTCGCTATTCAGGCTCACCAGCTGCTCCTCGGAAACCCTATACAGGGTCACTCACGTATGTCAGAACCGACTCGATGATACTTAACAAAAACAGCTTCCTTATTTAGTATTGCTGTAGCAGAAATAAGGAGCTCTGGTAGCATAGTGGTTACGAATCGGGCTGCTAACCTCAAGGTTTGCAGTTCAGAACTACCAGGTGTTTTGCAGGAGAAAGATGAGGCTTTCTGTGCCTGTAAAGATTTGTAGGGTCACTGTGAGTAAAGGCAGGGTCACTGTGAGTCAGAACTGACTCCATAGTACTAAACAACAACAACAGTAGCAGACATGGCTAATGTGTCAGACTGCAAAGTCGTTTTAACTGCAAGGTCGTTGGTTCAAGCTCATCAGCTGCTCCTTGGAAACCCTATACAGGGTCACTATGGGTCAGAATCGACTCGACAGCACTTAACAACAACAACAGCATAGCAGAAATGGAACTCGTGGTGTGGCTCTGTAGGATTAGTACTATACTGCTAACTAACTAAAAGGTCAGCAGTTGAAACCCACCCGCAGCATCTTGGAAATCCTATGCAGGGTGGCTATGAGTTGGAACTGACTCAGTGGCACTTAACAACCACAACAACATAACAGAAATACAACAAAGGGTGGCTTTAACAAACCGAAGTTTATTTTCTTAATAGGCTAGAAGTTTAAATTCAGGGTGCTGGCTTTAGAGGAAGATTTTTTTTCTCTTTTGACCCTAGAGGAAGGTCCTCATCTCTTTGAGCTGCTGTTTCTGGGTGATCTGGTATCTTCTTGCCTTCATCTCGGCTTGCTTGTTTATATCTTTTATATCTCAGAAGAGACTGACCTATCTTAGTTCTGCCTCATTAACATAAAAAGACAACCCATTCCCAAATTGTTTTATAACCACAGGCATAGAGGTTAAGATTTACAACAATTCACGTTAACAAGAAGCAAATTTGCATGTGCTTTGTATATCCCAGTAGGTTGTAGATCCTGCGGCACATTCTCTGCTTTCTTATTTCTCTCTTCTCTAACCCATTCTGATGGTCATGATCTAGATCAGTGACTGTAGAGAGGCCCAGAGAAGGCTGCTTCTGGGATTGTGCTCCTGGTCACCTGAGCCCTGGAGCCACCACACAAGGAAAGCAGAGAGTGAACTGTCTCCTACCTTCTGACCAGACTCTTTATCTAGTTCCTCTGGGGTCGGGGTGCTTTGTCCTGCACATGGTTACTGCTTAGGGCCACCTGTGACTATAGATGCATTCATCTGAGAGGGAGGGTAGATGTGGAAGAGCAAAGCCTGCCTTTCCTGACACAGCCTTACAGCAGTAGCCAGGACGAGGGCTAATTTTGCATGAGGTTCTGGAAAGAGAAGTGGTAGATGGTCAGAAGCCTTCTGAGAGTGAATTTGGACTCAGAATATTTTACTCTGAAGTGAATGCTCAGAGGAGACTTGCTTCCATAAAGATTACAGCCTTGGAAGCCCTATGTTGTTGATTAGGTGCCATCAAGTCAGTGCCGACTCATAGCGACCCTATGCACAACCAAACGAAACGCTGCCTGATCCTGTACCAACCTCACAATTGTTATGCTTGAGCCCATTGCTACTGCCACTGTGCCAATCCATCTCACTAGAGGTCTTCCTCTTTTTCTCCGACCCTCCGCTTTACTAAATATGTTATTCCTCTCCAGAGAGTGGCCCCTCCTGATGATATTCTGGTGCTATTCATCATGCTCAGTATTTAGTATTCTGGTGCTATCTGACAGTGTTCTCCAACTATTCATAAGGTTTTCAGCGACTAAATATCCGCAAGTATTCTCTCTTTCTTTGTCTGTCTTAGTATGAAATCTCAGCTGAAACCTATCCACCATGTATGACCCTGCTGGTATTTAAAATACCTGGTCATAGCTTCCAGAATTACAGCACCATGCAAGCCACCACAGTATGACAAACTGACAGACGAGTGGTGGTGGAACCCTATGGGAGAGTTCTGTTTTATAGAGTTTCTATGAGATGGAATCAACTCAACAACTAAGTTTATTTCCTCTCTGGTTAATGTGCTTGGCTGCTAACTGAAAGGTTGTGCATCCAAAGTTGCCTCAGAAGGAAGACCTGGTGAAAACCAAACATTGCACATCCTCTGGAGCACAGTTCTACTCTGATACACACAGGTTTTTTCTCCTTAGCTCCCATTCAGGGGTTAACTTATTAATTGTAAAGAACTAACAGAGGCTGATCAGCTAATTTCAAAGCTACTTTATATATTATTGGTTTGTTTCACTTCATACACTCAATGCATCCATAAATGGAGAGATTGTTGCTGTTGTTAAGTGGTTAACTGATTCCGACACACAGCAACCCTGTATAGGATTTCCGAGGAGCAGCCAGTGAGCTTAAACTGCTGACGTTGTGGCTCAAACCGACACTGCAGTCTATCTAGCACATTAACCCGCAGTGCCACACTGGGGAATAGGTGAGCATAAAACTGAGCTTTTGCCAGTTGAATTCTATTTTAAATGTACCAGGAACCGCTCTGCTTGAAAGAAATCTTTGGTAAAGTTAAAAAAAAAAACAAAAAACATTTCACTGTGAGAATAGGCCTTCATTTTTTAATTATTATACCTTTAGGGTTTAGAATATTGAAATGTTTTTAAGCTGGGAAAACCCATATTATTCATAGCTATTCATGGGTTATGGCCCAGGTAGCTAACTCCCAAACTAGAGAGCTTGTGGCCATCACCTTGGAGCTGCTAGTAGAGCAGTCTTAGATGGGGAGACACTGAATGGTACCCTGAGTTCAGAAGCATGGTCTGAAACTAATCTCAGCCAAAACCTCACTGCCAATAATTGATTCCGTCTCATAGTGACCTATAGGATAGAGGAGAACTTCTTAGGGTGTCAGAGACTATAAATCTTTATGAGAGCAGACAGTTTTATCTTTTTCCTACACAGTGACTGGTAAGTTTGAACTGGGACTTTGTGGTGATCAGCACAATGCTTAACCTGTGGTACCACTGGGGACTGACCAGCCAGTATCAGGGCATTCTCAAGGACATCAAAGATGCTTTGATGTCACGCTGAGAGCAGCCCTTAGGAGGGCGGGAGTCTATCATTGAACGACCAATATCTAGAGGTCTCTAGGAGCGCTTCCCCACCTGGGCTATAGCAGCCCCATGCATACAAGTTCACATTTCAGTTCCACCTTCCCAATGTGCACTTGTTCTGTAGGATTTTGTTTGCAGCAGAAGACAGAAATATACAGAAAGCAACTTTTCTTTAGGTTCAGAAAATACAAGGGCTGCCTCAGCATGACATCTAGGCATCTTTGATGTTCTTGAGAATGCCCTGATACTGGCTGGCCAGTCCCCAGCTGAATCCTAGTTTGTGGATAATGGTATTGAGTTCTCAGATTTACTTATCAATGCCAGTGGTAGCTCCACAGTATGCTCTGCTGCGATCTGTACTTTATGAAGAAAACTTACTGCTGCTATCTAGTGGTTACAAGTCGGGCTGCTAACCTCGAGGTCAGCAGTTCGAAACTACCAACCATTCATTCTGCAGGAGAAAGATGAGGCTTTCTGTTCCCATAAAGATTGACCACCTGGAAACCCTGTGCAGGGTCACTAGGAGTCGGAACCGACTCCATGGCACACTAACACCTCCACCACCATCCATCCTTCCTTCCTTTTCTTTCCTCACTGCCTCCCTCCTTCCCATCCATCCATCCATCCATCCACTCACTCATTACTCATTTATTTAATAATATTTGTTAGCTGGCTATGTTAAACTTGTGCCAGACTTTATGGGTGATATAAAGATGATAAAGGAATCGCCCAAGTCTCCAAGAAGATACAGCCTCATAGATGAATGAGGACATGTATTCAACTAACTAAATAGATATGCAGAGTTGATCAGAAAAAAGCCATTGTCAAGGTGTGATGGGATCTAAGTTAGAAATGAAATTTCCAGCACAAAGTAGGGAAGGGGTTAGAGGCTGTTGAAGCCTTTGGCTACCGGATGTACCGGGTAAGCCCCACTTTTTCACCCTATTGAACAGTTAGAATGCATCCCTTCCTCTGCGAGGTTACTGGAGACTTTGGAGTTTTCTGTCACTTTCTCTTGACTGACTTCACACAGATACAATCATACAGGGACCCAGTTCTTTGAAATTAGGAAAATGAGACCGCTGAGTGGGTAAGTGGTGCATGGTCTTGTGATGATCTTTCTCCTGCCAAGAGCTGCCAGCTCCCTTCCCCATCCTCTATCCCTGTTTCTCCTGCACGGTCTCTAAAAGGTGGAAGTTGGGGGTGCCCCAGGGACACTGACCTTGAAGTTGAGTGGCGAAGACTTTCAGTGGAGGTGGGAAGCTTGTGGCATTTGTTATATCAGCCTCCTTTCCCTTAGAAGTGTTTGGAAATGACGACTGCCCTGGGTCAGTGGGAGGAAGCTGGGGAAAATTAACACTAATCTCCTGGTAAAAAAAAAAAAGTGGAGAATTTAGGATTATTTTAGTTCTGCCAAAGTGCTTTGAACCCTCACCCCTCACCACCTTGTATGGCAAGTTCTCCCCTTTTCCTCTGCATTTCTGTATGCTGTGCTTTGTGTGGGGACAGACAAGCTGATGGATTGGCAGCCAGACTGACTGACTACAAAAGTCCTGAAACTTCTGTGCTTTCTTTATCCTACAGGTTAATGGAAACAGCAAAAGAAATGACCCGAGAGTCTTTGCCTATCAAATGCCTTGAAGCTGTCATCCTGGGCATGTATCCTTTAAGTTACGGAAACTGAAGTGTACACTGAGATGGTAAACTCATGCCGAGGCTGATTGTCCCTACATTTACACCCTCGATTCACAGGGATTATGCCTCTTCTCTCCTGGGAGAAGTTTCAAGTTTCTTGGTACTTCTCTCTTAGCTTGCAGCATCTGGAGCTAAAACCAGGCTTGGTTCCTGAGCCATTGTTAGTCTAGCTTGATAGATGTTTTGTTTTGTTTGTTTTTTAAAGCTTTTATTGTGAATTAGGAGTCCCTGTGTGGTGCTGTTGGTTAATGCATTGGACTGCAAAGTCAATTTGAACTACAAGATCAGTGGTTGAAGCTCACCAGCTGCTCGTCAAAAACCCTTATACAGGGTCGCTATGAGTCAGAACCGACTTGACAGCATGTAACAACAATTGTGAATTAAGTGATAGTTTACAGGGTGGATCATCAGCTTTGCACTTAGTCAATCATATTTTGTTTCATTGCAATGATTACAATCCTCTCCGTGTACCATCGGTTAACAGAGTTTACCTCTATTCCAACCCCCACCCCACCCCCCACACACACACCTCTTCTTTTTTTGGATGTACATAAAACACACAGAAAATATATATTTGCTTAAATGACCAAAGGGCACATTTTTCAGGCCAGCTCCCTGCCCACCGGCTTTCTCATTCCATGGGTCTAGAGTCCTCAGCTGCTCACTCTCTCTCTGCCCTCATGTCTGCTTCCATTTCTGGTGTCACAGCTTATCTAGTTAGGATCTCACTTTCTGCTCATGCTCTTCCCTCTCGATGGTCCTAGGGTCCACTTTTCCTAGAATGAAAGATTAACTATCCCCCTTTTTGTTTCACATCTTATGCCTTTACCGTTGTGACAATCACAATTAGTCATGATCACAATTACGCTTGAATTGTAAACTCATCATCCTCCATCCCCTTTCACCAGACTCATTTGGAAAAGAAGAAAACTATGTGGGGATTCTACCTTATCCACTTCATTCTGAAACTAAGCACTTTCTTGAAAGTTTATAAGCCAGCCACTTCATGTCTTTATAGCCCCCCCCCCATTTTTAGTAGTCATTGTCTTAACTTGTCTGTCCCTATCAATGCTGTGTACTGAGGGGACAGGCTTGATCCTTGATATGAAGAATCCTTCCCTTACAGTTGGAATTTTGACCATCCATAAGCAAAAGGTTCAGTTCATCAAATTGTAGCAATATACGCTGGCTTCCTATATTAAACGTCTTTATCTTCCTCTAGTTGAGGTCTGATCAACAAGTCATCCAAGCTAGGTCAGATGGGTACTATCTGTAAGTTTGGGCATTCTTGCATGCCTCCCTCACTTAAGACCATCTGGCCGCTTCGCTCTCAGCTGTAGCCCCCAGTGGCTAGGTCAGTGTCCATGGGATTGGGAGTTCTTAAGTCTCCCTAAACTTCAGACCAGCCAGCCCTTCCTCTTCTCTCATCTCAAGGTCCACAGGTGTCTATGGAACATGGTCAAACTCAGCCCATGTCTTCATTGCTGCATTTCCTCCACTTCCACCTACGAGTAGACCAAGGTGGTTTTTCACCAGTGAGCTCACAAGCCTGTTCATGTGTTCCCTTTGAGTTTCAGTCTTGGAAGAGGGTTTACCCTGATGGACTGACTTTTCTTGCCTCTATGGCTCCCAGGTGAACAGCTTGTTGTACTGGCAGACAGTCTGCTTTTTTTTCTTTTCTTGCTGGTCTTTCTTCCCAGAAGTATCTTCTGTTCCTCTAGCTGTTGAGGTTTGATCTGCATGTCCCTTCAAGTGGTAAAGTTCTGGGTGGGGCTCAGGATTCCACCTAAGACCCATACTCTGCAAGTGCTTAACAAGAAGCCTATTTCACTGGATAAATTCTAATACTCCTTTTAGGTAATCCAATTGATTATAGGCTGAAGATGAGTTTACAAACTTTCTGTAGTCATATTTTCCAATAATTTCTATCCCACTTAAATGTCTGCAATGAAAGTAGAGAATATCAGAAAGATGTTTACCTACGCTTTATTGACTACGAAAGGCTTTTGATTGTGTGGATTATGACAAGCTGTGGACAACATTGCAAAGTATGAGTATTCTGGAACATTTCATTGTGCTCATGAGGAATCTGTACCTGGACCAAGAGGCAGTTGTTCGAACAGAACATGGGAACATTGAATGGTTTAAAATTAAGAAAGGTGAACGACAAGATTCTATTCTTTCACCATACTTATTCAACCTGTATGCTGAGCCAATAATCCAAGAAGCTGGGTTATATGTAGAAAAATATGGCATCAGGATTGGAGGAAGACTCATTAACAACCTGTGATATGCAGATGATACAACCTTGCTTGCTGAAAGTGAAGAGGACTTAAAATATTTACTGATGAAGATCAAAGAGCACAGCCTTTGGTATGGATTATATCTCAATGTAAAGAAAACAAAAACCCTCACCACTGGACCAATAAACAACATTCTTATCAACGGAGAAAAGATAGAAGTTGTCAAGGACTTCATTCTTCTTGGATCAACTATCAACACTCATGGAAGCAGCAGTCAAGAGATCAAACGACGTATTGCCATAGGCAAATCTGCTGCACAAGGCCTTATAAAAGTGTTGAAGAGCCAAGATGTCAGCTTGAGGACTAAGGTGCACTTGACCCAAGTCATGGTATTTTTAATAACCTCATATGCATGCGAAAGCTGGACAGTAAATAAGGAAGACCGTAGAAGAATTGATACTTTTGAGTTATGGTGTTGGAGGAGAATATTGAAACTGCCATGGTCTGCCAAAAGATCCGTTTTGGAAGAAGTGCAGTCAGAGTGCTCCTTGGAGGCCAAGACGGCCAAACTTTGTTTCTCATACTTTGGACATATTGTCAAAAGGGACCATTCGCTGGAGAAGGATATCATGTTTGTTAAGGTGGAGGGTCAGAGAAAAAGAGGAAGACCCCCAACGAGATGGATTGGCCAAGTGGCAGGATCAGTGAACTTAAGTGTGGCAACAGTAGTGAGGTTGGCCCAGGATCGGGCAGTGTTTCATTCTGCTGTGCATAAGGTCGCTATGGGTTGGTACCAACTCGATGGCATCTAACAACAACAATCGCAATGTAGCTGGTTTTTAAAGAAACCAGCTGTCTTGGTCTCTGGACATTTTCATAGGAAAGGGTGTTTCTGAGCCTCTCTGTAAATCTACAGACTTGTTCTAAAACAAATTTGCCCACAGGTGTCTTGGCTGACATTTGAAAAATGAAAACTAGAGCTTTATTGAGGCCCCTCCTCAGACCTGCTGCTGTAGCTCCCCTTTGCCCTCAACAAAGGAGATGAACCAGGCACCTGGGGAAGCCAGCAGGGGAATAGGGCTGGGGGTCAGGGGAGAGGTGACAGAAACAGATGGCTCAGGACCCCAACCCTTTAGTGACAGGAGTCGGCTACAGCTGTTCAGCAGAATTTCGTGCAAGTTTAATGGAATGAACAGTTGTCCAAGGATTTGGTAGTGGGAATTAGCAAGGGAGAACTTGAGGCCAGGCCGTTCAAAGGGTAGACACATGGACACCAGTCTCTGGGTTGGTGGATGTTTGAGTGGCCTGTATATATAGGTCATTTTACTTGATTCATTAGATGTGTTCCTGCACAGTTCTATTAAATCCAGGCATCATGTGCCTAGAATTGCCTGAACTGTTTGGGGTTGCTGGGGATAGGCCTGTTACCACCCTGTGTATGAGGGGCCTCTACAAAGTTTGTGGGAATATAGAGTGAAAAGATAATAGAATTTTTCCATGGGCTTTTTGAAACCCCATCATATGCTCTTGGGGTAACATTTTAGAAAGCGGTGGAGAAAGAGAGGGGAGGTAGGGTGTGTGAAGGTCAACTCACACTGCTGAAGTCAGGGAAATCTGACTCTTGGACATAGAAAACAAACACAGACCTGAATTTTAAAAGTTTCACAATCTTTGTGTCCCTGTCTGCCCCTCACCTCCTTTGTTCTGTATCAGCATCCCTGTGGTGGCCTGCTGTCTCATTAGGGCTAGTGAAGGATCGCTTGGGGCTCTGTCTCCTGCAGGCCCTTCACTGGTCTCAGAACAAACACTGCCTCCGCAGCTGTAACACTCAGTTCCTATTCCCATTGGCTTGTCCTCTCTGGCTTTCCTTTTTGACTTTAGTCCAGGATTCATTAGTGAAGAGTCACTTTTGCTCTTTCTCTTGTGTGTGTGTACTCATACGTGCATGTTGGGTATAGCTAGCCCTTTAATTCTAAATTACCTTCTGAATCATGGCAGCTATTTTTGGGGCCTCACTGACCCTGGTGGGGCTGGATCATGGTGCTAAAGTACTATGGTTTTTGAAGATAGCAGAGGCATGTTAGGCATATCCCCAGATTTCCCAGGATTTGAGGGTGTTGTTGCTCCCCGTTCCTTGGAAAAACGCAGCTATTTCCCTGCCCTACCTACACTTCTTTGTCCCCTCAACTTCATTCCTAGTTGTTCCAGGTCCTAGAGATCAGTGATGTGTGACCTGATGGACCAGTAGTCTCTTTGGTCCCCTTATTCCCACTTGTCCATCTGGCTGATGCTACGTGTCCTGTAAAACCAATCCTGGTGTCACCTCACCAAGGCCTCTCCTTCCTCCCACAGCATTGTTTTCCAGGTTCATTTTGAGCCTGTCTCCCACCACACTGAGAGAAGGGCTGCATTTGTCACCTTTGACACCACAGCCCTACCTAGCATGGTGTCTGGCACAGTATTTACTCACTCAGTAAGTGTTTCTAACACTGACTTAAGCAACTAAGGAATGTCCTATTCCAGCCCCAGAGAACTTGCTCCAGAAAGCAAGTATGAATTTATTTAAGAAGACTCAAGGATGTGATTTCACACCCTTCTTGCCAGTTAATCTCATATGATGCAGGAAAGCGAGAGCAGGAAGACATTTTTTACAGAGACGAGCCATCGGCAGTTAAACCATGGGCACAGGTGAGGGCTGGGGTCTTTCTGTTAAGGGTTCCTGGGCTTGTCCCTTGCTGAATGTAGTCATTTTCTCTAAGGATTCTTTCTTAACCACCAGCATTACCCACTGATCAAGCACTTCTGTGTGCCAGGCCTATGCTCTGCGCAGGTAATACCAGGATGGCAGACACAGTCTCTGTCCTCACAAGATACAGACAGTTACAATACAGGATGCATATGTACCATGTACTATGGAAGGGTTTGTGGGGATTACCCAGCCCAGGATGAGTGAGCACACAGCACCCTTACCATTCATGGGTGTAACACACGGGCTCCTGTGATTCTAATGAGACCCCTGAGATCTTTGCCAGGTGTCAGTCTTTCACAATAGAAGGCCTCCGTGTGAGTAAAAGCATAAAGGAAGTTATTATTAAACTCTGAATGCAACTTAGCATAGAGTTTATTTGGTAGCATAATTTTTTAAAAAAAACTTTCATAGATCACCTTGATCTCATGTAATATAACAGTCGTTTAAATTTTCAGTTACATTGGACTTCATATTATGGGGGACTTTGATGTGCTGAAGGCTGTAGGCAACAATATGTTGATTCCTTATGGTCTTGAAGGTGTAATAATCAAAAACGTCAAGGGTCTACTGTAGGCCACTGTGTTAGTCTAGAGTGCAGAGGAAATAAGATCATACTGAGAAAATGAGTTGAGACCAAATTATGGTAGGATTTTGCCAAGGGATTTGCACTAAGTCCTTAAGAAGGTGACTGACAGACATTGAGAAATCTTGAAACAGAAAAACAATGTACACCAAATTTTAGTTTAAAAAGATCATTCTGGCCAATATGTGGAAAGTGAGTTTGAGTGGGAGCAAGACATGATGAAGACAAATGCTCGAGAGTGGAGGATTGTACGTCCTAACTGAGTACGTACTATGCACAAGGCGCTGTGATAAACCCTGTTGTAAACTAGATGATTGTTTACCTTGCCAACACTCTGCAGTCACAAAGGTTTTCAGCAGTTGAGCAGCATGAGTTTTTATTACCCTCTCCAGATAAGCTGTACTAAGGAGCCACTTGAAGATCCCAGGGTGGCACAAATGATTTGCATCTGACTCTGGAGGCGTAGGGGTTACGAAGTTCGAAACTATCAGCTGTTCCACGGGAGGAAGATGAGGCTTTTTGCTCCCATAGAGATTTGTTTGTTGTTGTTAGGTGCTATGGAGTCAGAACTGACCTGTAGCAACCTTAAGCACAGCAGAATGAAACACTGCCTGATCCTGGGCCAACCTCACTACTATTGCCATGCTTGATTCCATCGATGCTGCCACTTGTCCAATCCATCTCGTTGGGGGTCTTCCTCTTTTTCTCTGATCCCCCACCTTACGAAATATGATATCCTTCTCCAGAGACTGGCTCCTCCTGACAATATGTCTGAAGTATGAGAGACGAAGTTTGGCCATTTTGGCCTCCAAGGAGCACTCTGGCTGCACTT